TTCTCCACGTGGCTAGCTGGAACATTGGGCATAGCAGGAACAGCAACAGAGCTTGCAACCCAGGGAGCAATGGCAACGCCGGGTACAACAGCAGCGGGAGTGGTGCTAACAACATCAGCCATCACGAATACACAAAATCAAAAGAAATATGTTTTAAGATTGTTGGTGGAAATATGCACTACAAAAAAAAGGGCTTAGGTGACCAACCATTTCTGGTCACTAAAATGGCCTTTGGTGACCAAACTCAGTCACCAAAGGTCTTTGGTAACCAGGTGGTGACCAACTTTTGGTAGGTAGACTAAGCCTCGTCACTACAGGCCTTAGGTGACCAATTGCTAAGTCAGAGTGACCATCAGAAAGCTTGGTCACCAATTTTGTTGGTCACCGAAATTTTGATGGGCAGCTGATTTTGGTGACCAAGTCGACAACAACTTTGTTGGTCGATAATTTTAAATTTTCTTGGTCACTAAATAATAAATTTATGAAAAAAAAATATAATCATACGGTGACCTAATTAGCCATGGTCACCATTTCAAATTTTGCAGCATCACTAGAATATTAAATTCAAAAATTGGTATAATTACTACTAATATACCTCAATGTAATTTACAACGGAAAAGATATTCAATTTAAAAACAACAAACCACCATGCCCCAATCTATGTATCTATTACAAATACTAACCATGTCTAAGCTATGAGAAAATTTAAATGAGCTTATACAACAAAATCCCAAGATGAGTGATTCTATATATCAAAAGGACCAGTAAGGTCACTTCCAAGGCAAATCCACGGAGATACAAATCCACGGAGATACAACAAGCACTCTTAACACATGAGCAACAGAAGATCAAACCAACCACAACCACGGTAAGAAGATCTTGAAGTAGCTTAAAACGATAATTGCAAGCATAATTTAATCCTGACCATTTCAAAAACAATTAGTTATTTTGATAGAGCAAAAACAATATAGAAAAACCAGCAAAGGCACATTTACTACTTTCAGCAAACACAATGCTAAGGATTAAATAGTAGAAGGTCCTTACCAATCTATAACTATGCACGCCTTAGTGCAAAAGATGTAAGCATCTGAAAATTGTAGTAAAATAGTAGTGAGTAGAGAGCTACAGACATGGTAATTTTCATCAGAGAAGAAGAAATTGATTATTTGAAAACTTCATGCAGCTAAAACAAGGTAATTCTCTAAACTTTATCAAGAAAAAAAAAACAAAAAAGGTACATGTATTTGCATGATCCAAATCTCCTGTAGTAAGACTAGCAGCATCTGGAATACCTTGTTTTAGTTTCAATAGTATATTTGATTATGTGACTCTGACAAGTTGCCCTCTATACACAGAAAGCCCAACAACAAAGTAACTTTTGAAGTGCTGTGTGACAAGCAGGCTGCACGAGAAAACAAAAAATAAATCATAACATAATTGGAGACCTTACTTTACTAACAGTCTTCACGACCTTTGCATACTAAGACACAACAACAGGAACTTCAGGATCTGGACATGCACAACAAATACATGGGCACAAAAAAAGTAGGAAAGAAGCCCAGCATACTCCACAGTTCTCCTGGATGTGGAGGTCACTAACTTTATTGTTCCTATTCTACTATGTGCAAATGCCATTTCATACGTATATGTGTTTCATCTTTTACTTATTTGCTTTAACCATTCAAATTAGTGATTCAGAACCTAAATAAAGGTATGCAAAGTATATAGCCAATTCAAGAAGAGCTTTATCTTGTTATAAATCTGTTTTCAAGAAAAGACTATAGGAAGTTCAGAAAAACATTCAGTTCGAAAGGAGTCTACATACTTTTCACAAACTATCACCCTTTAGTGCATTGGGCGCAGATGCTTCATTGGAAAATTAACGGATTTGAACTGCAAGCTCTAGATGCAACACAAGCTGAGCGACACATAACTGCAATGTATTAGACATAAAAATTCTTAGAAATATAACAAGATTTCCCTTTTACATTCACAATGTAATCTAAGCATAAACTAGCCAAAAGCATAATCCAATTTTAAATTTGACAAAGTTTATTGTATTTGCCTCTGTGCGCTCAACTCATTTACCAAAGTGCTTGCAAAAAATACTTGTTCACATTTAGATTATTATTCATTAGTATGAACAGAACTAATTTGGGATGGACGAAATACAAGAAGGTAATTCACGCAAGCGACGTGTGTGTTGAAGTAGTTGAAAACAAATATAAGTTATTTGTAAGTTATTTCATGCAAGCCTCCTTTTTTTTAATTCGTTTGCACCTTTAACAGGACTCGGCATACAAAAGTTCTTCCATTAAAGGCTATATTTGTCCATTTTTAATATATTTTTCAAGAGATTCGCATTTGGCAATCATCCATGTTTTGTTAAATGAGACTTTGTCGGGCCGTTTTTAATAAGTTTTTCTAGCTAAGTGTATTTGACAATGAGCGAAATTAAGTCACGTTTGTCGTTGTTTCGTTCGGTTGGTACGTTATTTTATCATAAATTTGATAGAAAATGAAGTATATTTTCAAGATGAAAGGGAGCAGACCAGGTCACATGCTTATCATGTCCAACGTCTCATTAATTGTGTGCGTCACGAGTATTTTAGTATTGATTATGCCATACCAATATATTTGTTGATATTTCACCTAAGTACAGTGCTTTAATATACATATAAACCAATATTTTACGGAACTTAGCTCTCGCTCAAGCTAATATCCTCACTTGGATGATACTTATTGGGGTGCAATCTGCACGGCGTTATATATCTTTGTTAGGCCAATCTTCAATGAAATCTGCACAGCCCTGCTTTTGCATTTGTTCTCATGAAAGATTTCCTTTAATAATTGGCCAAAGATCGTTAAGAAGAACCGTACTGGTAACGAAAATTACACAAGGATCTTTGTGCCTCATGAATTTCCACGGAACAGTAAACCTGATGCTCCCATAAGTGTGTAACCATACTTTTCCAATACATAGGGAAGATGATTTCTACTCAAACTGCTGTGATTGCTGAGTCAGGGGATTATTGCTTCAATTGCCAGAAGCAAAAATTGCCACCAAGGCTGTGGGTAAGTAAGTATCGTTGCCAACAGCCGCCCACCAAATAATCCTCACTAAAAAGGCATTTCAATAAAATAGAATTCAAGAGATTTTGAGTATATATATATGATGGGCAACCTTTTGGGTTTTATTTTTAATTTTTAATTTTTAATTTCATTTGTACATTTTGTACTATTACCTTGATTCTGAGTCAAGTTTAATTTTAGTCACGAAATACAATCCATCGTTTTTGTACTGCCAAAATATAGTTTGTCACCAATCCATCAGTTGAATATTTATATATCCGATCAAGCTCGCTAACCCTCCTTGACATTTGTATTAAATGCAAAGATTTGAACTAAATGTTGCCTCCGGTCCTTAATATAAGGTATTTTGATTTGTCCTAGGTTTCATATAGTACACATATTTAATTGGCGAAAAAGATTTAAAAATATTTCATAACAATCAAAAAAACACAATGAATGTAAAAATTTTTAAGATTTTTTCGTCAATTAAGAATGTGTACTAGGTGAAACCGAGAACAAATTAAAATGTATTACATTAAGGACCGGATGGAGAATTATTTTGAATGAAGAATTTTCCTCTTTACATATGACATTAATTTGAACCAGTTTTTACAAATACTTGATTTATTTTTCGTTTTCGAAATTCAAAATGAACATAAGACCACTATTGCAAAAAGTAGTGTAGGTTTAGATAAAACTGAGCTATGAACGCATCATATATATAAAACATGATGGAAGGGGAACATTTCCAATTCCATTCCCAACCGAGGGGAAGTCAAGATGGCTTGGTGGTGCAATATCAAAACCAACTGATCAAACTTAAATTGTTCATTCAGAAATTCAGCATTTTCCGTATCTACACAGGCACCTCAGTTTTGGCTTGAATAGTCCCCGTTTCGCATTGTCATTGTACCGCAGACTTCTTGTTGAACCGTGTTATGACTCCAACTCCATCATCTTTGATTCAGAAATGCGCTCCAGAAACCGTTAGGCGCACTAGCACTTGCTCTTGTTAACAAGAAGCGGATTAAAATTTTCATTTAAATTTTGGGTTTATGCTAACTAGTTAAAAAAAACGTTAGAAGACACAATATTAATCACCTGAAGTATCTTAACGATTTTACTACAGCACCATAGATTTTGCTTATGAAAAAATTATTTAGAGGCTCATTTGGAGGAAAATAGGGTGATAAAATGCAATCTGCAGGGTGTCTTCATCCCGAAAAATAATTACATTAATAATTCATCCACCTGGATTATCGTATCTATTAATAATTACAACCGGCACATCTTGATGAATTAATTCTATCCAGAAAAATATTCTTCTTTGTTTTGAATGTTTGCAGGGTGTCTTCGTTTTATATGTATAAAGATGAGATATTATTCTTTTGAAGATTTTGGCTGATTAATTTTTTTTTTGGGGTAAGTATCTATATCAATAATCAACTCAAACGTGACTCCACTTTACTTCTTGAATTATCACTTAAATGTGCACTCTTACTAACATTGATTTCTAACAGAACCTCCTTTAACTCCTGTCATCCCCATAGTGTATGCAAGAAAGTATTCTGGCAAAGAGAATGTTCATTTTCTGTGTACTATACCTCCACATTCCCAACATCATATTTGTACTTTGTTTCAACTATATAGGCAATTTCAATACTCGACCTAACCAGGCTTACAACCCTTGTATCAACTATATATAGATGCTCGTTAGACTCTTCATTGTTGCCACCAAATTCACAACTTTCCTCGTCAATAAATAGACCCGTTGTTGCATGGTATGCAAATCTACTCCATAAGATTGAAGCTTCTATTATACATAGTTATTTTTGTTGACTCTGTTGACTATGCTCTTGTGACTGTGGGCGAAAACACCTTCCAGTGTGTGACGTCAATTTTGTTTCTCCGACGTAGCTACGTCCACCATGCCAAGAGGAACGAAGAAGAAGAGCAAAGCAGCTGTCAACGAACATCACGAGCAGCCAGAAGACGAAAGGAAACTGCAGACGATTGATTTCGTGAACAATTTGGCGAAGGATCAGGTTAGCTCAGCTCAAACTAGATCTAGACTTAACTTGAATAATTCGTTGGAAAAAGTTGGGAATTATAGGGTAATTGAGGTAGGGGAAAGCTCACAGAGCTCAGGGATTGATAGATCAGGTAGAAAACAGATGAACAGGAAACATTGGTGAAGGGAGTATGGCAGGAATTTGATCCCAAGCAACTGATGGTTGATAGAAAGCTTTCATTCATTAAACCGGAAGTAGTCCAAGATCGAGTGATTAGCAGAGTAACTAAGGCTGAAATTCAGACGGAAGTGGAATATCGGAAAACATCGGTGGCTTGCTTTGTGTTGGGAGCTCATCCTCCATCCCCTGTGGTCAATGGATTTATCAGAAGAAATTGGGGGAACTCAGGAATTGATAAGGTGGTGCTGTTAGAAAATGGAATTTATGTAATCAGATTTAAAACGATGGAAGCTAAGGAAAATATTCTGAAGCATAGTATTTATTATTTTGATAACAAGCCGTTTATTGTGAAAGATTGGTCAGTGGAAAAGGATATAGCTATAGAAGACATAAAATCTGTCCCAGTGTGGATACAGCTGCCAAAAAAGAAGCCCGGGTACTGGAATGCAATCTCATTAAGTAGAATGATGAGTGCTGTTGGTATTCCACTGGAAATGGATGATATGAACTCAAAAAAGATGAGAACAGCTTTTGCCAGGGTATTAGTTGAGGTTAAGATTGCTGATAAGGTTCCAGATTCTATTTGGTTTGAAGATGAAAATGGCCTACTGTAGGAACAACCAATAGTTTTCGAATGGAAGCCAATCCAGTGTTTGAACTGTAAAGGATTTGGTCATATGGCTGACATCTGCAAGCATCCAACTCCACAGGAATGGAAGGCTAAAACAGATAGCAGGCCAACTATTCCTGGATTGAAAGATAACACTGGAAAAATGTAGGAAAGAATAGAAAAGGAGATTTCTGAGGAAGCAGAGAAGAATGTGGCTCTGAGCAAAGGCAAGATGCACAGGGAGAAAAGCCCTATTGGGAAGAGTAGCTCAAGTGAATTTGAAATAGCAACTAAGGGAGATGAAGTACTGATACAAAATCAAAAAGGAATGAAGGTGGTAAGTGGAAGACAAAGTGAAAGAGTAAGCTCAATGCATGTGATATATTCTGTTGATACTAGTAACCCTTTTATAGGGTCTAGTAAACATGAATAACATAATGAGCTGCAACATTAGGGGACTTAAAAGTCCCCTGAAACATAGAGAGGTTACTTCATACCTCTCTATGAATAAAGTTGGGTTTGCAGGGATATTAGAAACAAAATTAACAGGGGAAAAAAGCTAAAGAGATAGTGATGAAGAAGTGGCATCAATATCAATACTATGGTAATCATGAAGGGAAGAGCAAAGGAAGTATATTAGTATTATGGAGGAAGGAAGACTATGAAGTTTAAATACAGACTGTTAATAAGCAGTATATTCATTGCTGGGTGAAAAATCTCAACACTAAGTGCTGGTTCTATGTGACAGTGGTGTATGCAGACTATTTGGTTCAAGGGAGGATTAAGCTGTGGGAGGAGTTGAAACAGATTGCAGATCACACAACTGGAGCATGGCTAATAATGGGTGACTTTAACTGTGTAACCAATCCTGAAGAGAGATAAGTAGGAAGGAAGGAAGTAAGTGCTGATACTGACAACTTTAAAGCATGGATGGAAGATGGTGAAGTATGGGAAATGCTAGTCTATGGAGGAAAATATACCTGGTAGAATACGCAAGTTGGTGACCCAAGTATTATGGCTAAATTGGATAGAACTTTGGGGAATGGAGAGTCGTTCAACCAGTTTAGTACAGCATATACCACAGTAAGTGCAGCAGGAATCTCAGATCATGATGCTTTGATTGTTAGATGGGGAGATGATCCAGTGATTAGCAAGAAATCGTTTAGATTTTTTAACATGTGGACTCAGAGCAAAGAGTTTCAATCCATTGTTAAAGAAGTCTGGCAGAAGCAAATCACAAGAATGACCATACAGTTTAGGGTTGTGAGTAAGCAAAAGTTGCTTAAAAAGCCACTGAGAGATTTGAATAGAAGGAAGTTTGAGAATGTGGAGGTCAAATATCAAGAATGTCATAGCAAGTTGATCATGATCCAGGACAAACTTAGCTTAGATCCTGAGAATGTTGCTATGCAAAAGGAAGAGGAGCAAGCCAGAGATGGGTATGTGGAAGCAAGCAAAAATGTGTTGAGCTTTTGGTCTCAGAAACTTAAAGATAAAGGGATACAGGAGGGGGATATAAATAGCAAGTATTTTCATGCCAGTTTAAAGGAGAAGAGAAGCATCAATAAGATCAGATGCTTTATTAAAAATGATGGAGCACTAGAAGAGGACAATCAGGAAGTGGAGAATCACTTTGTGAAGTTCTTTGAAGACCTGCTTGGGAAAACGGGTGATCATACACCAGCTGATTGTAGAATACTTAGTTCAGGGTTCAAACTGTCAATAGACCAACAGATATTCCTGATTAAGGACTTTACTAAGGCTGATGTAAAAGAAGCAATCTTCAGTATTGATAGTAGCAAGAGTGCTGGTCCAGATGGTTACAGTAGTGAATTTTATAAAAAAGCATGGAGCACTATTGGAGATGAAGTTTGTGCAGCTGTTCTGGAATTCTTTCAGACTGGTAAGTTGTTGAAGCAAATTAATTCTACTGTGATTTCATTGATTCCTAAGAATGCTAATCCCAAGGATGCTACTGAGTACAGACCTATTTCTTGTTGTAATACACTCTGTAAGTGTATTACTAAGATGATCTGCAAAAGGCTCAGTAATATCCTTCCTGATTTGATTGATATGAATGAATGTGCGTTTATTAAACAAAGACTTATATTGCACAATATACTGCTATCCCAAGAGCTGATTAGGAAATATAACAGAAAGGATGCTAAAGCTAGTTGTGTAATAAAGGTGGATTTAAGGAAAGCTTATGATTCAGTTAGTTGGAAGTTTGTTGAGGAAATGCTGAAGCAGTATGGCTTTCCAAGTAAGTTCATAGGTTGGATAATGGAGTGTGTGACTACATGTACTTATTCCTTGAATCTGAATGGAAATATGAAAGGATTCTTTCAAGGAAGAAGGAGATTAAGACAGGGTGACCCTATGTCACCATTGATATTTGTTATGGTCATGGAGTATTTGACAAGGTGCTTCAAGGATAAGGTGGATCATGGTCTGATAGCTCTCCATCCGTACTGTGAAAAACTCAGAGTCACTGCTTTGTGTTTTGCTGATGATTTATTGATCTTTAGTGCAGCTGATTTGAAAACAGTGAAGGTGATAAAGTCTGTGCTTAATCATTTTGCAGAAGTGACAGGGGTGAGTGTGAATAATCAGAAATCAAATGTGTACTTTGGAGGGAAATCAGTGAATGTGCAAGGAGAAATTCAGGAGACTATGGGATTTCAAGTTGGGCAGTTCCCTATGAAATATTTAGGTATGCCAATTTCACCAACAGCTTGGACACAGAGAGAATGTCAAACGATGATAGACAAACTTACTGCAAGGATTAAATGCTGGTCATCAAAGCATTTATCCTATGCAGGAAGAACAGTGTTAGTTAATTCTGTGCTACTCAGTTTGAATTCTTACTGGGCCAGTATTTTCCTGATTCCTTAAAGTGTCATACAGCAAATCAGTAAATGTTGCAGAGAATTTTTATGGGGTAAGAAAGTGAATGGAGCATCAAGATCACTGGTGGCATTGGATTTAGTTTGCAGAAGGAAAGGAGAATGAGGTTTAAATGTTAAAGAACCACGAACATGGAATAAAGCTCTTCTGGGAAAGCAGCTTTGGGATATAGCCAAGAGGAAGGAAAGTTTATAGGTGAAGTGGATTCATATTTATTATGTTAAACAGCAAAACTGGTGGGAGTATAAACCTCCTCAGGGTAGCAGTTGGCATTGGAAGAAGATCAACAAGATCAAGGAGGTATTTGCACCAGGAATCATGAATGGAAAGTGGCAGCATAATGGAGGGAAGAAGTATAATGCCACCAGTGGTTACAGATGGTAGAGAGGAGATCAGCACAAATTCCAACCTGCAAGGGTTGTCTGGACTTCAGTTGGACTTCCTAAGCACAATTTCATCAGTTGGATGGCCTGGCTTGACAGACTGCTTACTGTGGAACGATTGCAGAAGATGACAATTCAGGTAGATGAACCAAAATGTGTATTGTCCAAAAAAAAAGATGAGACAGGGAAGCATCTGTGTTTTCAATGTGGCTATACTCAGAGAATTTGGAAGGAATTGAAGTCTTGGCTGGGCATCAGAAGAGAGATCAAGGCTCTGAATGCTGGCAGTTTGATTAATATTTGGAAGTTTACTCTTGCTAAACAGAAATTGATGTATGCTTGCTTAATGCTATAGTGTATCATGTGTGGTTAGAAAGGAACAGCAGAAGGTTTGTTGGATTGGAGGAGCAGGCAGAGCAAAAAGTTGGAAAAAACCGGAATGAGCTGAAGTGCAGAATTTTGAGTTTACAAAAAAATAAGAAGAATGCTTGTTTATTGAACTTTTTGAGATAAATTTGTATAGAAAGGAATGTAATAGAAGGAGGTAGGTTTGTAAAGCTTGAAGGTGCTTAATACAAAATTTACATATTACCAAAAAAAAAAGATTGAAGCTTCTCTGTATATATACATTCTTGCCGTAACAATTCATATCCTCTTTCAGTAGAATAACTCTTGCCATTTTCAACCATTCATCCCCCATTTTGAATTCTAGATTTCGTTTGTTCTTTAATCCTGGTCAGATTTCCGCCGCGCTGCCGTGCCAACTACAATCTTGTGGCTGATTCATTGTTCCATGGTATTTATATTAGCAATTTAACCGATAAATCGTTTAAAGTTGCTCCAAATTATGTTTTCTTATGAAGGAGAGTTACTAGTAAAGCCGATCACAGTAAAAGAGGAGTACATTAAAAAAAAGGTACAACACGAGCAGAATGAGATTAATAAACATGCTAAGTAATTAAAGGTCCAATTCTTTTCTGGCTCTTCTATTGTTTTTCCATTTCTTATTTGATTATTTTATTTATTTAATTTTTCCCTTAGAATCACGTTCAGCATAAGGTATTTGACTTGAGGTAGTTTTTTTTTTAATTGTTAAAAGTTATCTAAAACTCCGCCTGCGGTAAACCCTCGGGTGCGTGGCACGCTAGAATTTACCACAGCTAGCATTAAAAGACTTTGCCACTCTCTTAAATATGAATCATATAAGAAATCGGATAGATGTTAGGACGCTACCTGTTGTACGTGGCGTGCCGCAGTGTCTGACTGCGTGGTCTTTGCAAGGGGTGCTACATATCTACGGGGAATTGGGTGTGTATGAATTCCACTTAACTATTTGCTATGCTTCAAGCCAATTGCTATTGTCACATGACTGCACCTCATAATAGTTTAAGGTCCTAGAAACAAGTGATTTCGGCCTTTATCCTTGCACACATTTGCAAGGGCAGTAGCCATAGAGCTGCCTAACGCGCCCTAATTAAGGAACTAGCTCCCATTAAATTCAGATGCATATGTTTCAATAATGTGGGTATTTTCTATACAAATCAGTACACATTTGAAATTGATTTCATATAAATTAAAAAATTAAAATAGGGTTTGTTTTTTGCATTTTAGAGAAAAGTTAAAATGACTAACGCTTTATTGAACGGTTTTCTTACCACATTAAGAATGTGCATATTCAAGGAGGAATGAGGAAATTAGTCCATGGTTTGTGGAATTAAAACAATTCCATTCCAAATAATGCAAAATTCAAAATTCAGCCCAAGTTTTGAAGTTATTCCGTAGTTTAGTCCCAAGTACAAGAAATTGAGAGTATTTTTAATAAAGTCGCTACTCTTTAATGTTAATTAATGAGAGCTTCACTTTTCTTCATCAACATAAGGCACTGGAACCAGACCCGAAACCAGAGTCCTCGACAATAACTGAGGAATCCAAAGCAGGCGACTCCTCCTTGGAACGAACCTGTTTCGAGCATACAACCCATGAACCCCTTAAACCCACCAAACAAATAAATCAAAAAAAATCGGTAAGAAAAAATTCCCAGACCAACCATATAAATATAATTGGTGTCAGAAAACAAAAATAGGAATAAAAAGAACAAAAAATTTTTTTTACTATCCATTTTCCACGAGAAAACTAAGGAATCAATGTCGTACCTCTACATGGACTCATTGACTGTAAATAAAACAATTTCCTCATTACAGAGATTTTTTTCCATTCTGGAACACAAAAACCGGAAAAAAAAAACTGACTTGCTTCTATCATGGAATTTAATTTCTTCATCATATTTTCAGTCACTAACATTGTTTTCATGAATACTATCGCAAACTTTGCACCTCGAAAGAAGTTGAATAAGTAAATCAAGGATTGGGGAAGAAGATGGTGGTGGGCGGCGGCAGGAGGGTGGTGATTCGGCATAAGGGAGCTATCTTTTCTTTTTGGTGAAAGATTAATAATATATTAAATTGTCACAAGTGTGATCTCAATTTACAACCTGACCTTCTCTATTACATGATCTTCTCTCAAGTAATTGTACTGATTCCTAACTTTTCCAAATAAACTTTTTCAGAGATACTAAATTTTTTACAGCTTACACTTACTTTATATCTCAGTTCCTGTTTAATCCTTTCAACTACCACATCTACACTATCTATTAAAGAATCATGCATTGTTGCATTTCTCTGCATCCAAACCTGGTATATCACTGCTGCCATTGCCCCAAAAACTATCCGCTACTTACAGTTGCTTTGCTGCCATATTTTCCTAAACTTTCTTACTCAATTGCCCATCCTTTCTGGAATCTTATTACAGTCCAACCACAACTTCACCTTCCGAAGCACCTGTAATGAATAATCGCACTGAAAGTATAAAGGCTCAAGACTCTCATCTGTTTGACCACATAATCCACATACCATGTTCTGCTCAATAAAATTCAGTTTCAACATTTGATCCGCAGTCAACAATCTACCCTTCATTGCCAACCAAAAGATAAAGCTATGTTTAGGGACTACAAATTTAATCCACACCAACTCTGCTGCTGCAAATTTCTGACCTGGTCCTCTAAGCCAAGCATAACCAGAACTGGTGGAAACACTCCCTGTTGGTTTGCTGCCCACTGACCATCTTGAATACCATATTTAAATTCATCTTTAAGCCTCATTAAGTTTCTCCAAGCCCAAGAGTCACTCTTAGATGGTCGATAAGGGAGCTATCTTGGAAGTATCTTCTTAAAATAAAAAAAAAAATGGAACTCACTCTAGTTTTATGTGATTTTAAAAGTTTAACAATTAGTGAACTCACCAAAATGTCCTTAATTTTTATTCTTATATAGGACTAAATTACGGAATCATGTGAAACCATTTGTTAACTGAAATATAACAAGACATAATAGTCGAGACTAGACAAAAGAAAGACTGAATCATGAGAGAATTAGGAATAGTATTGTGTGTTTATTGAGTGATACAATATTCCTATTTATACAAAGAAATAGACTCCTATACATATATTACATGTAATTATGGATAATATCAAATCAACCAAATAGAAACAAATCCCTTAAATTAGGCAAACATTAAAGGCCCTAAATCTAATCCCATTATTTAGGTTCACAACCCCATTCAAACTCAAGTTGGAGTTTAATAGATGGAACACAAGATGGGCAAATCGGAGACACCAAAACTTATTGGTGATGAATAGAGTGTGCCGAATTCGGTGATAAAACACCAAAATCATGGAAAAACACTCTATGTTTTGATCACCAACCTGGTTAATATGGTATTAGAGCCTGGATAGTCATCGGCTCTGGGCTATCTTTTGACTCGTTTTTTGCCATTTCCGCTGCACCATCTAGCTCTATTTTCCTTATTTTGTTTGATTTTTGCATCCTTTGCTTGATTTGGCCTAACTTCTGTGATGCTTATCTCTTTTCCTTCATGTGTGCTGCTAGCCCTTGTTGATCCGCCGCTTTGAATGTGGGTATGGAATTGCGTTGTGTTGTCGATGGTCTCGGTTGCATTTATCTTATCAAATGTGTAATGCCGGTTTGAATGGTTAGTTACTCCTTTATGCTCACCTTGAAGGTGCCCGGTTCGAAACACTCTAGCAACATTTTTTTTTGTAAAACTAAGTGTTATTTGTATATATATATTCAATAAAAGACTAAACTATATAAATGGTCTTCTACATTTGTTCGAATTTAAATTTTGGTCCCTTACATCAACATGTATATGGATTGAGCCTTTACATTTCATTTTGAAACTTTTTTTGTCTCTTTTCACTGTTCCGTCTCCATTTCCATCTTGATGACCGTTGACCTTATCAAGTAAGGGGTATTTTCGGAATGACACATATAAGATCAAAATAAAAAATGTTTAAATGGTCCCCTACATTGTCCGAATTTAAATTTTGATCCCCTATATCAACATGTATGTAGATTGAGCCTTTACATTTCATTTTGAAACTTTTTTGGTCTCTTTCACTGTTCCATCACCATTTCCGTCTTGATGACCGTTGACCCTACTAAGTCAGGGGTATTTTCGGAATGACACATATAAGATCAAAATAACAAATATTTTTATAATAAAATAGAATAAAATATTAAAAGTTATTATTTTATAATAAAAAATTAAATAATTTAAAAATAAAAATAAAAAATCAAAATGATTTCAAATTTTTTTTTCACTTCCCACCTTTGTGGGTCCACATGCTAGTCAATTTCTCCCCTTTTTTTGTTACAGTAAAAAAAAATCAAAATTAAAAAGCAAACTTACCTTCACCCGTCTTTTTTTTGCCTTTTAATTTTGACGGGTGAAGGTAAGTTTGCATTTCCAGGCTCTAATACTTTTAACATCATCTCCACTTCCATTCCCACACATATGTATGATTCTGCATTTCATTTCCAGCTGGATTTTCCTGTTTCTGTCCTCAGCCTCCTAAATTTTTTGCTGGAACAACCTTGTGTTCCTTTCATTCCAAATGTGATACACCATATCATTCAAGCTAGCAAACATGATCTTCCTTCTGTTTGCTTTATATTTCCATATATGCATCAGTCTTGCAACAGACAGGGTTTTAATCTGAGTTCTGATTCCTAACCAGTGAGTAATTCCAGCCATCAATTCATGTGCATAAGAGCATTTAAAAAACAAATGTGTACATGTTTCTTCCTTTTCCTTACACAGTATGCAGGTCTGATCTGTAACATTCATCTTCATGTTTCACATTCTGTCTATAGTTAGCAGTCTGCCTTTCCAAGCTAACCATGAACTAAAACAATGTTTACCCAACAATGCTTTATTCCA